TACCTGCCCCGTGTCTGGCGGGGCCCGGGAGCCCAGTGCCCAAGTCGCCCCGGGTGGCAGTTCCCGTTAACCTTAGCCTCAAAGTCAAAGGTATTTATTCCCGTCCCCCACCCTCTGAGTCCCTCTGAATATGGGCGGGGAGGGGCGTGCGGAGGGACGGACCGTGCTTTGGGGCCGGCGCCCGGCCCGCTCTTCCCGCGCTGCCTCCACCCAGCCCCGGGCTGGAGGCGGCTTCGGGGTCCCCTGAGTCCCCCGCGTCCGGCCCCGAACTCCCCACTCCCCGCCCCACACTCAGCCAGTGGGGACGGGGACCAGGTTATGTGTGGGAGGGGCTGCAGGCCGGGCCAGAGAGCAGGAGGTTGCCGGTGAGAGCGGGAGGAACCGGGTGGTGAGCGGGGGTGGGGGAAACTGTCCCGATGTTCGGTAACTGTGACAGTCTCCCAGAAAGACTGAGCTTCTGGAGAGCAGGAATCCCAGTGCTCGCAGCGGAGTGACACGTGGGTGCCTAATAAATCAGCAAAGGAGTGTGGATGAGGATTGGGGTGAGAACAATGAGAGGGCAGCACCACAGAAATTGGAAGCCTGTGTGTAACGGTCTCCTTGAAACCTCCATTCCAGGAAAATGGGCACAGGAGCCAAGATCTCAGTGGGGGTGGGGTAGGGGCTAGGGGCTTCTTCCCCGTAAAGGTGGAGAACATAGAGATGAGGCCTCCTGCAGCCCTTTGGCAGGACGGAGCCTGGAGTTAGCCTGGAGTTGGGTCTCGGTCAGCCAGAGCCTGTGTTGGGTGTGGTCAGAGCCCCAGACGCAGGGGGTGAGGGGTAAAGGGACAGGAAACATCTAGGCTGTTCTTTTGGGGTCCCTGCATTCATCTGTGAATGAAGAGATTAGAGAGTATCAGCCTCCTTTCAACTCGTAAGATTCCGTGATTCTGTAATCTGTTTCAGACGGAAATTTCTGTTATTTAAATGTTCCTTTATTAAAACTGTCCTCAGTGGCTTACAACACGCGGAACCTTGTGCTGGGTGCTGGGTAGAGAAACACTTCCAGTGTTAAGATGTTTAAGAGTCTTGTTGTGGAGACAGACAAATTATCACTATACCATGTGGACGGTGCTGGACATGGGACGGAGGCCGGCCTTTAGGTGGTGGTGATGCTCGCCTGGCCAGGCAGGACCTCTGGGTTTACTGGTCTGTGGGTGTGGCCCGGGCAGCAGTTGCCCTGCACTTCCGAGAACATTTTAAAGCCACTTGGCAGTTGATTTGCATGGTCTCCTTGGTCATAAACTCTAGATGACAGGAAGGTGTGAGGTCTGGTGGGTCCAGGGACAGAACACTGATGCCTGGAGAGGGAGCTGATTGTCCAGAGGCCAGCCAGGGCAACCCCCAGGGGACAGGCCACATGCTGGTGGGGAAGGGCCCAAGGGCTGTGGAATGGTCCTGAGAGACTAGGCTACACTGGTCCCCTGTCCCCAGCAAAGTCAGGCTATGAGGCCATTGGGACTCACCCGAAGTGAGCCTTTCAGCCGCAGGCCAGCTGGTCCTTCTAAGGCTTCTAGCCCAGCCACCCTGCCTGGCACGCAGGTCCCTCAGCCCCGCTTTCCTTGCCACAGCCCTGCTGGCCCCCACTTGGTTAGGCACCCCCACCAGGCCAGGAAGAGCCCCTCCTCCCCACCAGGCCAACACGGGGCTGGGGACCGTGTGCTGCCGCGCTCGAGCAGCTCCGTCATGTACGTGGCCACGGCCGCGCAGGTTTGTGACAGTGAAAGCTGAGTCCATGCCCTCGTCCTCCCGTGAGGCCAGCTCACCTTGGTGGCAGAGTTGGGGGTTACTCTGTGGGCGCTGGGGCCACTGAGGATCCTGACGCAGCTTGAAGAATTCTGGTGTAGGGAGAGTGAGCCGGCAGTGGGGGCGTGTGGAGATGACCTAGAAAATGTGGGTGTGGCTTGTTCTCAGGCCCCGAGACAGTGGAGAGAAAAGACAGCCAGTTTATAGAGCTCAAAAGGGTAGTGTTTGCACAATGCCCCTTACCTGATGCTTGTGACCAACCTGCGGGGCAGGTATTTTCGGCCACCATCACCATCCGGAGCCTAGGCCTAGAGGTGAAGTGACTTGCCTAGGACAGGGGGGCTGGAACTTGAGCTCCAGTCTTCAAGGGGAGTCTGGGCTGAGGAGCCGACCCTGAGGGCTCAGGTTCAAGGCGGGGAGGGAGGGCCTGCTGCTGTCTCGGGGCTGGACCCCTGCGGGCCCGGCCTGGGGAGCATTTCATGTTGCACTGGGCTTGCTGGGCAGAGCCTAATTCTCCCTCTAGGGCTTTCTGTCCCTCCAGCTTCCCCCCAGCACTGGCCTCTTGCCACCCCCAGCCCCAGCACAGATGAGCCATCAGGTGACTGTCCCCATCATACTTCCTGTGACCTGTGCTGGCAGCTTCCTGGCTCACTGTGGGCTGCCATTCCCGCCTCCCGCCTCCCTGAGTTCGTTCCTTGGAGCAGCGGGTGGTTGGGATGGTCAAGGCCACCTGTGGGCGCGTTATCAGCGTGAACGTGCATTTCTGTGTCCGCAAGGGCGCTGTGTGGTGACTTGTGCCCCTCTGGCTCATGTGGGCACGCTGTCCCTGCGGGTCTGTGGGTGGGTCGGCGGGTGGGTAAATGTCTCCATTTCTTGGACTGCGCGCACACAGTTGTGTGGGTTCTCCTGCGGGGTCTCCCTGCGTTTGTGCGTCTTCGATGTTGGTTTACTTTGCTGCGGTAGCTGTTAGGTATGAACGTCCCTGGGCGCGTTTGTGTGAGATTTAGTGTCTCCAGCATTTCTCCTCATGCGCCTGTGATCGCCTGTTTTAAATGCAGCATCCGCGGGTAGGAGCTGAAGTCGGTTTCCCAGGCAGCGATCAGCGTCAGCTCCTCCTGTGGTGTTTGTTGTTAGGGACAGGGCACTGGGGCCGGGGACCCCCTGTTGGGGTCTTCATTTGATTCACTCAGTCACTCACTCACTCACTCACTCCACCTTGAGCACTTCGCATTTTAGGGACCAGGCAGGGCAAGGCCCCGCCTTCGTGGAGCTCTCGGCTGGGGCTGGGGCGGGGCTGCCCTGTATAGCTCGGGAAGCTATATAGCTTCGCCACATGTGGCTGTTGAGCACCTGAAACGTGACTGGTGTGATTGAGACTCTGAATTTTTAATTTACCTTGTATCAGTTCAAGTAACTACATGTGGGTATAGAAACGAAACTCCTGAAAACGAGGGTCCTGGAGTCTAGTTCGGCGCTGGCTCCTTGAGCGCGCAGCGTGGCTCTTCACCATGAGGGCTGTGAGGTGTGAAGTGGGCGATGCTCGCTCTGTGCTTGGCACACGGCCGGTGCTCCGGGCCGGTGGCTTCTCCCCGTCCCGGTGGGAGTCTGGGCAGACCAACATTGAGGTGACCAGGGGAGCCCTCCACTTGTCTCAGTGAGTGGCATAGGAGAGCAGAACCCCCATAGCCAGGGAGCATCTGAGACACACCCTCTGAGTGGTCTGTGCAGGTCCCTCCACGGTCTGGACCCGCACCCTGGGGTCTGACCTGTGAGCTCACCGGGTGGAGCAGGGAGGCCAGAACCTCGAGGACACGCAGCCGAGGGCAGGCGCTGGCTGGTGGGTGAGGCGCTGTGGGCCAGGTGGGGTTACACCAGTCAGTGGTTGGGAGAGAGGTGGTTGAGAGAAAGGCAGGGAAGCACAGCAGCCCTGACGGGGCGGTGGACCGAGGGGCAGAGGGGGGTCCGCTTGATGGGGCGGGGTGCCTGGGGGAGACTGCCCCCTGCCCGTCCCCTGCCTATGGTGTCCTGTGGGGGCGGCAGCGTCAGTTTAAGTGAGCAGCAGTGGTCGGTGAGCGCCTGGGTGCACCCTGCGGGGGGTGGGCGTCTCCTGGCTGAGCAGGGCCTAGGAGCTGGGCCGTTGGCTGGGGTTCAGGGAGATGCCCCCCTCAAAGCCTCAGCTCCTGGTGGAGGGCATGTGGCCAGTCCCTGCTGCACTGGTGGCCAAGGACGCATGAGGTGCCCTCCGCTTCGTCCCCATCTGGGGCCTGAGTCTGGGAAGAGAGGCGTCTTGGCGGGTGGAGAAGGCCGGGGGGCCGAGCTTGGGAGGGCACAGGGAGACCTGGACGGGCCCCGCGCTGTGGCCTCTCTCCTCAGCCCAGCTGCTGCCGCCCCTTCCCGCCCCCAAGTTTCTGCTAAGACCAAAGCTCCTTTGTCCCTTTCCCTGGCCCCAGACCTCCCCACCTGCCGCGGGCCACAATCCCCTCTTTGTGTGGTCTGGCAGTTGTCACGACAGCTGCCCCAGCAGACGCCTTCCGGTTGAGGGGGCTCACATCCCCGATGCACCCTGACCCCACGTGGGGAGGTTGGCCTGGAGCCAGGGGCTGGGAAGGGGGCGGGGGCCATGGCCCGGCTCTGAGACCCACTCTCCACAGAACTTGCTGGGCGGGCAGGGAAAGGCCGTCGGCGAGCAGGGTCAGGGCCAGGCAGCCTTCAGAGACTCCGCCTGGGCGCTGGTGGGGGTGGCGGACCGGCCCTTGCGGCGCTGTTTCCTGGCTGTGGTGCTTTGCTAGGCGGCCTGCCGGGTGGGCTGCTGGGCGTCTCAGGTCGGCACAGCTCGGGGCCGGGTGCACCTGGTGGCCTGGCTGGCGTGGAGAGGCACGGCCATGGAAGGAGACTTCCCTGGGTGTGGCCACCCCCGGGTCTGTCTGCAGGACACCGGCCGGCCTCTTTTCCGGACGGCCCACCTGAGCACACCGGTGGAGGGGGGCCCCCAAGACATGGCCTGTCTGCCCCTCATTCCTGTCCTCCAACCCCTGCCCTCTCGTTCTTATCTCTTCTCCTGGGGCCCATGAGGGTCTTCTTCCTTCCCTGTCGACTTCTGTCTTAGACTACAGGCCCTTGTGAGCCCAGGTGGGACGCAGGGACGCGGGAGGGGCTGCCCTGGTAATTCCTTGTGAATTGCTGCCGAGAATTGAAGGCTTTCTGCCACCCTAGGCGGTTTTTAGGCCCTAACACCCTTTGGAAGACAGAATGGGTCCAGGAGGACTCATCTGAGTCGCAACAGGGCCTCCCCTGTCCTGTTGGGGTTTTGTGAACAAGGCCGACCCCTGCCCTCCGTCTTCACCCTGAATTGAGGCTCCGTCCCCGTCTGAGTTTCCTGAGTTTAGGTGGCCTCCCTGCTCGCCAGTCCCCTGAGCCTCTTGGGGCGGACACCAATGAGAGGCTTCCCCGAGGCGTGGGACACGCAACCCATCGGGCCCGAGGGTGACCGCCCCCCGCCCCCCGCCTGGCGCCCCCTGCCTCGGGGCTCCCCTTCCTCTGCCCAGGGGCTGGTTTTTGTGTCTAGAAACCACAGTAGGGGTGCTGAGCTGACCCTGCTGGGGACATAGGGTTAAAAACAGAACCTCCTGCCAACCCAGGAAGGCTCCCCGCAAAGGCGGCGGGGAAGAGGCCCGCGTCCTTACTGAGTGAGCCCCGCACCAGGAAGACACGCACACGACAGGCAGTCCACCGAGAGGTCGCAAAGGCAGAAGGAGGTTGCCCCGGTTACACGGCCCTGTGGGCGCGGCCCGTTCCACACGTGGGCTTGAGATAAGCCGTCACTAGTGCTCGGGCCAGAGGACTTGACCACGTCCTAAATTCACCTGGCAGCCGGGGTGGCCACCTGTGTTTGTTAACTGCCTTTATCCAGAGGAAAACACACCTCTCATATCTTTATGGCAGGAGGTGGTTTTGCAGCTTGGAGCCAGGTGTCCCCGGGGGTGAGGCTCCGCCCTCCCACGGGGCCTGGGAGCCAGGGCCCTGCCTCCCTTAATGATTCCCTTCAAAGGGTTGGCTCCCAGGCCCTCGAGAGAGACAGGTTTACATACGTCTCAAATAGACAAAAATTATAATTAGAAGTTTTCTTTTCTTTTTTAAAGATTTTATTTATTTTTAGAGCGAAGGGGAGGGAAAAGAAGGGAAGGAGAGAGAGAGCAACATTCATGTGTGGTTGCCTCTCACATGCCCCGCACCGGGGACCTGGCCCACAGCCCAGGCCTGTGCCCTGACTGGGAATTGAACTGGCCACCCTTTGGTTCTCAGACTGGCACGCAGTGCACTGAGCCACATCAGCCAGGGCAAAAGTTTTCTAAAGAAAACACTATAAAAGAAAGGGCAGGCGTCTCTCCCTGCTGTAGGGGAAAAGGTTTTTCTATGTTCTAGGCTTGTAAGTGCCCTTACTGCCCCCTACCCGTCCCCTCTCTTTGCAGGGCCCTGATTCTGAGCCTGGTAACGGGATGGGCAGACCCTTAGGCTGGGGGCTCTTGAGGGCCCCAGGTGGGGAGCAAGACAAGACAGGTTCTCATGAGAGTGGCTGGGCCAGGTGCCCTGGGGGGAAGCCCCTTGGAAGCGGCTGCTGGAGTTGAGCGGAGAGCACAGGCCCTTGCGGGACTGTTTGGGAGGGTGGGGCTCAGGGGGTGCGGGTGTGTGAAGCAGACGCCAGTCCTGAGCAGGGACAGCCCCTGGCACTACGTGGGGGAAACAAAGCCCCAGCTGCACGCAGCCCCTGTCTGCATGCGGGTCAGCCGGCCACGTGTGCGTGTCGGGTTCCCCGCATGACGGCTCTGGCCCCGACCCTGGGCCTCCCGCAGTGGGCACAGGGAGTAAGCAGACAGGTAATGCCACCTCAGGTGGCAGAGTGTCATGGAGGAAGGTGAGGTGGAGTTAGGGTTGTGGCTTTACCCAGAGTGGCCAGGGAAGGCCGCCTGAAAGAGGCGAGGGGCCCTGCAGAGATCTGGGGCAGATCGGCCCAGGCAGAGGGGTGGCCAGAGCAAAGCTGAGCACCGAGTGCCTGGCCTGTGCCCCGTCCTGCCCCAGGCAGGCAGTGAGCCACCGGGAAGTGTGCTGGCAGCTGGAGCGGTAACGAGCAAGGTGAGCCCCAGGAGCGGGGCTCCAGCCCGGCTGGGCTTGCATGGAGAGCTCCCTGGGAGGACTGGCGCCTGGACAGGCAGGGACTTAGAGAGAGGAGGGGCTGTCACTTTGCAGGGACAGTTCTGCCTGCCAGGGTGTCCCCTGGCCTCTCAGGCTACTAACTCCTTGGGGTTTCTCCTGTGCAGCACCCCCCTGCCCCTCCCCCGCCACCACGTGCAGATGCCAAGAGCCGGGGCCTGGCGCTGGGCTCCGGGAGCCAGAAGGCCTGGGATTGTGCCCCGCCTCGCCATGCAGCCACCTCTGTGATTCTGTGCGTCAAATCAGTGGCCCCGTCTGACCGCAAGCTCCTCTCCCTAAGATGGGAATTATGCCTGTTGTACCTGCCTAGCAGGTCTGTGTGCAATTTTAAAAATCCTGCACATTTCAGTTGAGGTCACAGGTATAAAAGCTTTGACAGAGGAGGAATGCACCCGTGAGGGCGCACGAGGGCTGGGAAACCCCTCCATCCTCGCCCCACAGGCCAACTTTGTTTCCTTTGCCCCCATCTCACCTGCAGACGGAGTCAGGCGCCGGCTGATACCGTGGGGCCTCCGGGATGGAGAACGGCCTGGCTGGCGCCAGCGCAGGTAAGAGAAGATGGAACGGCACGAGCCAACCGCAGCCCCTCCCCAGGCCTGTCTTCCGGGTGCCTCCAAAGCCCAGTGTGTGTCGCTGCCGTCACCAGTAGCTTAGAGAGTGTTGAATTGCAGGACGCTGAAGGTCACATCAAGGAGTGGAACAAAGACAGGCAGGGGGAGCTAAGAAAACGACAAAGGGCAGCCCATACCTCGCCAGGCAAGGGAACACACACATTCACAGGCACGTGCGCGCACGCAGCCTCCCTGAGGTGGAAAGTGAGGAGTGTGGTAAGTTCTGGAACAGGGTGTTCATGGTGGTCATGCCAGTCAAACACTGAAGCAGCACTCTGGGTAGGACGAGCGGTGAGAACAAGCCGTGGGTCCGGGGCCCCCGCGGGGCTCGCGGTTAGTTCCAGCCGATCCGCGTAGAGCCCGTCGGGAGGAACCACAGCCATCACGTTTGGTTCTCCCAGACGAGTGCAGCTGCTACCGCGAGTGGAAGTGTCCCGCACGGCCGTGCGTCTGAGCGGAGCAGCCCTGGGTGTCTGAGAGCCGCTCTCAGGCACAGCCTCTGTCACAGCCTGGAGGGCGTGGCCGCCCTGGCTCCCGGGGAGCCAGCTGCAGAGCGGCTCTGGCTTAGGAGAGGGCACAGGGTCCTTCCTTGGGATCCCTGCCTCTCAGCGCTTGGCACAGCGACTTTATCAGGTCCCTTTCTGTCCCCTCCTCCTGGGGAGTTGTTGCGCCATATACCCTGGAGCCCCAGCCCTCCCCCGGTAATCACTGCAGTGGGCCCGAGGCAGAGACAGAGATGGGGCAGTGGGTGAAAAAGGAACGGACGGCGGCTCAGAGGGGTGGCGTGCTGCGTGGGCTCCCAGGCCGGCCGGCCCCGCCCCCGGCCCGCAGCCTGTCACTGCGAATGCGGAGATCACGGGGTGGGGGTGGGGGTGTGTGTGTGTGTGTGTGTGTGTGTGTGTGTGTGAGAGAGAGAGAGAGAGAGAGAGAGAGAGAGAGGTTGATGTTACCGTAATTACAGTACAGCCTCGGACAGACGGTTCCAGACATTGTAGCAGAAGGACCCTTTGTCCCAGGCAAACTCAGGAGTGGAACCCTAATTCACATGTGAGAGATGAGGGAGTATGCCGGCCCCCCCCCCCCCCCCCGCCTTGGCGACTCCCTGGTGCCCCGTGGTCTTAGGGGAGAGTAGAACACAGCGGCCTGGACCCTCTCCCCTGAGGCGGCACGGAGGGAGGCTCCCAGGGCCGGGGGCGCCGGGGGCTGCAGCCAGCCCTGGGCCCCCACAGGCTCCTGCTGCCGGACCCAGAGCGCGGCACTGTCTAGATGGCCAAAGTTTTGAGATCATTGAGAACTTACCTCTTTTAAGCACCTTTTCCCTTTTTTGTTAATGTTATATTTTTAAAAAATTGTGGTGAAATACATGTGGTGTGAAATTTACCATTTTAACCACTTTTAAGTGTACAATTGAGTGGCCTTAGGTGCATTTGCATTGTTGTACGGTCATCACTACCATCTATTGCCAGGACTTTTTTTTTTTAAATCACCCTAGAAACTCTGGACTCATTAAGCAGTAGCTCCCCATTTACAGCTTCGCTGTTATCTGAACCATTGAGAACAGCCTCACACCGGTCCTCGCTGTGCTGATGGAGGAGCGGTGGCTTTGTCTCTAGACTCCGGCCGCGGGCAGCTCAGGCCTGCTTGCCTGTATTAATTACTATCCGATCCCCAAAGAAAAGCGTGCCATGGACGTCCCAGCCCACGCACCTGACAGGGTGCCCACGCACCTGACAGGGTCCCCACGCACCGTCCCCAAGCTCCAGGGCCTCCTCACACAGCCCAGCCACTCACGGCTGCCTTTTCCAGGCGTCCTTTAGATGGAATCGCACAGTTCGTAGGCTTTCCAGGTTGGCTCCTTTCACTTGGTGAAGTGCATTGATGTTTCTTCCATGATTTTTCATGGCTTGATAATTCATTTTATTTTTTAAAAGATTTTATTTATTCTTAGAGGGGGAGGGAGGGAGAAAGAGAGAGGAAAACATCGATGTGTGGTTGCCTTTTGTGCGCCCCCTACTGGGGACCTGGCCCGTAACCCAGGCCTGTGCCCTGACTGGGAATCGAACCAGTGACCCTTTGGTCTGCAGGCTGGTGCTCAGCCCACTGAGCCACACTAGCCAGGGCTCATTTCTTTTTAGTGCTGAGTAATATTCCATTGTTTGATGTACCACAGTTTATTTTTTATTTTTTAAAAAGATTTTATTTATTTATTTTTAGAGAGGCGAAGGGAGGGAGAAAGAGAGGGAAGGAAACATTGATGTGAGAGGAACTTCGATGAGTTAGTTGCCTTTGTACACAGCCCCTACCAGGAACCTAACATGCAACTCAGGCATGCGCCCTGACTGGGAATCGAACCAGTGACCTTTACTCTGTGGGATGACACCCAACCCACTGAGCCACACTGTTCAGGGCCGTACCATAGTTTGTTTATCCACTCACCTGCTGAGGGACATCTTGGTTTCTTCTAAGTTTTAACAAATATGAATAAAGCTGCTGTAAACATCTGTGTGCAGGTTTTTGCGGAGGCGTAGGTTTTCATTTCATTTGAGTAGACGCTGCGGAGTGTGGTTGCGGGGTCATACGGTGAGAGCGCGTTTAGTTTTGTAAGACACTGGCTAGTTGCCGTCCCGAGCGGCCGCACCGAGCTGCGCTCCCACTGGCAGTGAGTGGGGGCGCCTGCCGCCCCGCGGCCTCGCCCACGTGCGCTGGTGTCCGGGTTTTGGAATTCAGCCATTCTAAGTGCTGTGTGGTGGTAATATTTTCGCTTTTAATGTCGTATAAGCCAAAATCTTCCTTTCTCATTTTTAGAATTTTCTGGGTGATTTATATAAGTTGTAAATTAAAAAAAAATTTTTTTTTATTTCTTTTTAGACAGAGGGGAAGGGAGGGAGAAAGAGAGGGAGAAACATCAGTGTGTGGTTGCCTCTCACACATGCCCCCCACCAGGGACCCGGCCCCCAACCCAGGCCTGTGCCTTGACTGGGAATTGAACTGGCGACCCTTTGGTTCACAGGCCGGTGCTCAGTCCACTGAGCCACACCAGCCAGGGATGCAAATTGTAAATTTTATAATTTAGCTTAATTAGGATTACACTGAGTTTAGACATTGTTTTGGAGCGAAGAGCTGCTGCTTATCTAGAAATACGATGTATCTGTCCTTTCATTGATATGTCCTTTTTCCCTTCAATAAAGTTTAATAGTTTTCTTTATATAAGTTTTGCACATATGGTAGATATATTTCTGGTTATTTTATAGCTTTGTTCCCATTTTTTTTAAAAGTTATGAATTGTTCCATGTTTTTGTATCTGACCATCTTGCCAAAACTCATTTCTGATATATTGTCAGTAGGTTCTCTTGCACATTCTAGGTTAATAATGACCAGCGAATGATAGTTTTCCTTTGTAGTATTTATATATTTTTCTTCTTTTCCTTTTGCTTTGGCTGGTTCCTCAGGGACCATGCCGAAGAGCGTGGCAGTGGCTGCCTCCCTTGTCCCCGACATGAATGGGCTTCTATCCTTTTGCCTTTGGTCCCAACTCTTGCTGCAGTTCCTAGTGTGGCTCCGCGGTCCACCTGAGGGCAGCTCCTTGTGTCCCTCGTTTGCTGAGAGCCTGCCGGCCCGCCTTCCCTCCCTCCCTGCCTCCCAGCCTTCCTCCTCCCTCCTCTCTCCCCCCTCTCCCTCCAGAGATGCTGTTGCATTTCATCGTGAGACTTTTTGCACCCATTGAGATCATAGAAGCTTTTCCACCTTTTAAAACCTAATGTCACAAGTTACCGTGGAGCCATGTCTGCTTCCCTGGGGAAGATGCCAGCAAGGCCCTGACACCCTGTTCTTTTCATGCTGCTGACCCTGCTTCGCTAATGGTTTTGTGTTTGTTCTTTGTGTCTACTTTCAAAGAATGTAAAGGTCGTATTTTCTGCCTACCCCGCCCTTGTCTTACTTGATACCGCATCGTGCTAGCGTAGGCTCCCTCCCTTCCTGCCCTCCTAGGTGCTGTCACAGTTTATATAAGCTGCGGACCTCCTGCCCTTGGAGTTTTAGTAGAAGCCATTCATACAGTTGACTGGCCCGTTGCCCATTTTCAGGGTAGAATTTCAGCTTTCTTGTCGGTTTTTTCTGACTGTTTATATAGACATGTTTTCTACTTACGCTTGAGTCAGTTTTGTTAATTTATATCTTCTCTCAAAACCATCCATTTTTATATAGATTTTTCAAATTGATATAACAACAGTATTTTAGGATTTTCAGAGCCCTTTATTTTTATCTTTACGTTCCCTTTATCCTCTAATCTCTGCTATTTTCTTTCTTAATTCCTTCCTCCTACTTCCTTTGGGTTTGTTTTCTTGTCTTTTTCATATTGGAACCTGTTGTTTAGAGCTTCTCTTTTGTTCACAGCTGTTTTGTTTTACCTACTCTTTGTTGAATGCACACCTTCTACTGAAGGGTAACACACAGAAAAACACATAGGCGGACAAGCTCTATACAGTCTTACAAAGTGACTACGCCCATGTAACTGGCACCCAGATCAAGAAAGGGACTGTTGCCAGAACCCAGAAGTCCCCCGGCCCCGCCTGCCGGCTCCCTCCCAATCACAGGGCCCTCTGGAAGGGGGCCACGGTCCCGGTGTGTGGCTCACCCGCTAGGCCTGCCAGCCGTTGCACGTGATATACGTGGGATCACGCAGTCCACACTCCCTGTCTGCAGCAGCCCTTTCCTGGCTGTCCCTGGGCGGGCCCAGAGTGCCCCTGTGGATGGAGCGGTCCTGTGGACGGGAGTCTTGGGAGGAAAGGGGGCTGGGTTTAGTACAAGGTCAAGGCGACACCTGCTGAGACCCTTCTGGCCGACTTTCTTGTTCTTGCTTTTGTTGAAGGAGAGTGAGGTTACCGAACGGCTGAGATCCCAGCAGGTGAGATGCTCACACGCCATGGCTGCTACTCCAGAGAGGGTCCAGCAGTGCCGGGGGCTGGGCCACCCAACCACTGGGGGGCTGGGCCACCCAACCACTGAGGGGCTGGGCACACACTCACTCGGCACAGTGGAGCCTCAGGAAAAGAACGAGACGTTTGAATGTGGCCGTGCTCTGCTGCTCTGGGGCGGGAGGACCTCCCCGGGCCTCAGGCAGAGCCGGGGCACCCGGCGTGTCCCGGGCAGCAGCCCCACGGAGCTTCCCTTTCCTGCACCTTCCTTTGCTCTCCAGACCCCAGCCTGCCCCTGCCTGATTGTCCTTCCTTCCTTCCCTCCCCGCTTCCTCTTCTCCCTTTTCCAGTCTTTCTTCTGCATCCTCCTCCTGTCTCTTCTTTTCAGCTGTGTTCGGCCCTCCTGGCCTTTCCCTCCACCCTCCGAGCAGCGACTGACTTCCTGTCCTCTCTTCCTTTGTCTGGCAGCAGACGGGCTGGTGGTGAAAATCAAGCAAGAGAAGCCAGAGCGGCTGCTGCAGAACCTGGCGCCACCGGCCGTGCCTTCCAGGAGGGATAAGGAGAACATTTACCAGCAGCCCCTGGGCCTCCGGCTATGCCAGACCATGGGGAAGAACCGATCCTTGGCAGGACAGGAGGAAACTGGGGGTCCCAAGTGGACCCCTCCCACTGAGCAGGAGGTGGGTCTGGCAGGCCGGGTTCCAGGGGCAGCCCCTGGCCCCCTGAGCCCTGCTCTTTCGGCCGGCGAGGGTCACTTCGTGTGTCTGGACTGTGGGAAGAGGTTCAGCTGGTGGTCGTCCCTGAAGATCCACCAGCGCACCCACACCGGGGAGAAGCCGTACCTGTGTGGCAAGTGCGGCAAGAGCTTCAGCCAGAAGCCCAACCTGGCGCGCCACCAGCAGCAACACTTGGGCGAGCGGCCCTTCTGCTGCCCGGAGTGCGCCAGACGCTTCAGCCAGAAGCAGCACCTGCTCAAACACCAGAAGACCCACTCTCGGCCGGCCACCTACTCGTGCCCTGAGTGCGAGCGCTGCTTCCGCCACCAGGTGGGCCTCCGCATCCACCAGCGCGCGCATGCCCGGGACCGCCAGGGCGCCCGCGCCAGGCTGTCCGAGCTGCTCCGGGATGCTGCAGCGCGCCGGGGCTGCCGCCTGCGCCCCGGGACTCCGCGGGGGCGCCCGGAGTGGGCATGGCTGGGGCTCTGCCAGGGCTGGTGGCGCCAGGCAGGGCCCCAGACCGACCTCTCCTCCTCTGCCACCACCACCGGGCCGGTCGAGCAGCGCCAGTTCATTTGCAGCGAATGCGGCAAGAGCTTCACGTGGTGGTCGTCGCTGAACATCCACCGGCGCATCCACACGGGCGAGCGGCCCTACCCGTGCCCTGAGTGCGGCCGCCGCTTCAGCCAGAAGCCCAACCTGACGCGGCACCTTCGCAACCACACGGGTGAGCGGCCGCACCCTTGCCCGCACTGCGGCCGCAGCTTCCGCCAGAAGCAGCACCTGCTCAAGCACCAGCGCACGCACATGCCTGGTGCCCAGGCCACGCGCTGCCCTAGCTGTGGCCAGAGCTGCCCCAGCCGCGCAGCGCTGCGGGCCCACCAGCGTGCGCACGACAGCACCGCCACCGCCCAGCTGCTGTGTCCCGGGCCCGCCGTGCTGGGGGACGAGGCGCAGGCCCAGGTCGCCGTGGCCCGCTCAACACCACCGTGCAGCTCTCCAGCAGCTCGGGGACCCGGGGACACGCGGTGGGGCGGCGTGCGAGCTGGCCTGGCCGGACCCGGGGAGCAGCGCCCATTCATCTGCAACGAGTGTGGCAAGAGCTTCTCGTGGTGGTCGGCGCTCACCATCCACCGGCGCATCCACACGGGCGAGCGGCCCTACCCGTGCCCCGAGTGCGGCCGCCGCTTCAGCCAGAAGCCCAACCTGACGCGGCACCGGCGCAATCACACGGGCGAGCGGCCCTACCTGTGCGCGGCCTGTGGCCGCGGCTTCAGTCAGAAGCAGCACCTGCTCAAGCACCAGCGTGTGCACCGGGGGGCCCTGGTGCCCACCCCCAGCGTCAAGGATGAGGCGCTTTAGTGCACCTGGGCCCAAGGGGACCCATGGGGGATGTTTGCAGGGGTGCCCGTGGGCGATGGCCAGAATGGTGGCTTTTACAACCCCAGGGAGGGAGGCCCTATCAAAGGCCGCAAAGGCCTGATAACACAATCCCAGAAGCACCCCCAGGGGGACCACGAAAGGCCCCGGGGGGGTGGGGAGCGGCTGAGGGAGGAGGTGAGATCAGTTGTCCCCGCCCTGGAGCCCGATGTGTCCCTGATGGGTTGAGGGCTGCTGTATGCTTCCCAGGCGGGACCCCAGGCTCCGGGTTGGTGGGGGGGCTCTGGGAGAGGCCCCCGTCCAGACTGGTCAGCCCCAGCACCAGCCCGTCACACTCAGGATGGCGAGGGGCCGACTCGGTGCCAGAGTCTCAACAGACTCAGCGAGAGCAAGGGCCGAAGCTGGCAGCTGCGGCCGCAGAGGGGCGGGCACGTGCCCAGGGCCCAGGGCAGTGCCCCGCACTCGGTGGCCATTCGGCGTGGAGCTGTGGCTGGGGTGAGTGGTTTTCTGGCCCCCTCAACCTCGAGTGCCCCGTGTGCAGGGGACTGCCCTGGCCGGCCAGACTCTTGGACTGGTAGGCGTGTGATGGTCAGGGCCTGGGCTACACGGTGGGGGCCTCCGCTGAGACGTGGTGGCTTGGGGAGGGACACGCAGCAGGGAGGAGCCAGATGTGCTGCCCTGCTCCGTGGCCCCGGGCCGCACACTCTGACTCGTCTTTGTGGGCAGTGTTGCAGAGGGAGAAATGAAGCACAGCTGGCCTCCAGCGGTCTCGTTGTCATTTTTCATGCTTCCCTTCCTGAACTGCGCATCTGCCTGTGCTCTGAGGGGTCCGTCTGCCCGGGACCGGGCCAGGGAGCTTTGGCCGTGAGCGCAGCAGCCCCCTATGCCCAGTTCCCTTCCCGCCCTCCCTGCACAATTTGATCTCTTCCCACACACCCCTTCCACCTGTTGCTCCTCATGCTTTTCCAAAGCAGGGGCGGCTGGAGCCCTGGTACGGATGGAGGAGCCCAGGGCTCCAGGCCACCTGGAGCTGGGACCGTGTCCTCCCTCAGGAGGGGAGGGAGCTATAGAGGGTGGGAGCTGGGGTGCCAGCGTTGGATAGGTGGGAAGAAAAGGGGGGATCCCGCTGGTTCTGTAGGAGGATGAACTGAGTCCGCCTGCCTCGGCTCGGGCCGGGGTCTGTGAGCCCAGAGGGGTGCCTCTGTCTCCCGGAGCTGCTGCGTTCACGCGGGCTCTGCCCTGTCCCGCCCCTTTTTCGGGTCCTGTGTGATCTCAGCTGCCAAGAGCTCCAGTTGTAGCGCCACAAAAAGGCCCGTGGAGGCGAAGGTCCAGCTCGCCTGGTAACGCAGCACTGGGGGTGGTTAGCATTCAGCCAGGGCTCCAACGTGCGGTCCTGCTGGTCCTTGATCCTAAACCATGCCGTGTGGCCCCATACCGCAGGGCAGGGTGTGCCCATCAGGGATTTCAGCTCTGAGGACCAGTGGGAAGCTAAATCACAAGGATTTTTCTAGGCCCCCTCTCTGAACCTAAGCCCTCGGGGCTCCCCTCCCTGCCATGCCTGCCTGGCCCCTCCCCCAGTCTGCGCTGCTTGGAGAGGCCAAGGGCCTTGGAGCTCATCAGAACCCACTTCAACCATGGGGAAGGCTCAAGAGTCATTTGCTAATGCCTTGCCAACGCAAGCAAGCCCGCCTCCTTCAGGAAGGCATCCTGGAATGCCATGCCCGTGCTGGAAAGCTGCAGCCTGCAAGGATGGAGCTGCAGCGATGCGGGAGCCCTCGGAATCGGGTGCCTGAGGGGCTGGCCGGGCAGATCCTGCAGAGGCGGGCGGGCAGGGCAGTCTTTGCTGTGTTACTGCCCACACGTGGCCTGTGTTCAGCAGTCAGATCGAACACCAGTGCTGGCGGGATTTGGGATTAATAAGGCTTAACTGCAGCTTTTCCCCTCGGAGCAGAGTCACGAGAAAGCCTGTTCCCTGACCCCAAGTGACGGATCCTTGCAAATGGTGCTTGGGGTCACAATGAGGGCGTGGCCAGGTCCCTCAGGGTGAGGGGTTACTGAGGTGCAGGCCCCGGTGACCAGATCAGGGGATGCACAGCGCTCAATCTCTCACCACGCCCTGTGTGTGACAGGCCCCGGGTCAGACTTCGGGATGCGGTGATGAGTAAGCCTCTGCCGGCGGCTAAGCAACACACCCTGGAGGCTGGGAAGTCTGGGATCAAGGTGCTGGCCCGTTCCTGTCTTGCAGATAACCGCCTTTTCTCTGTGTCCTTTCACGGAGGCGGGGTGCGGGGGAGAGTGCTCGGCAGTGCTCTGGTCTCCTTACGGGGACACCAGTCTCCTCAGGAGCAGCCCGCACCTAACCACCTCCGAAGGCCCTGTCGCCACATACCGTCACCCTGGGGGGGCAGGGCTTCAAATGATGGATTTGGGGGGTGTACAGTTCAGTCAATAGCAGTCACAGTCTCTGCCCTTGAGCTCACGGGCATTCACAGAAAACCGCTCCAATACACCTACAGCTTGGAACAATCTATATGGTCAGCTCTTGAACACGTGGGCCCAGCCCCTGCTCATAGTGAGGCTTTCTGGTTCATCTCGTTTAGTCTCCCCACACATCAGCGACCGAGGCGGCAGTGACGTAGGAAAGCAGGATGGGGACGGTGGCACTTGCCCACCAGGTCCTGTTGCAAGTGGATGGCAGGTCCCAGGCCTTCTGTTAGCCTTCGCCGCCTCCGCTGTTGCAATGCCAGCCTCCTCCAAGGGAGCCCGGCATGGCCCACCCCAATTTCCATGGCCTTTCATTTTAAGGTCATAAAACTAGGTCAGAGAATGTTTAGGGAGAGACATGCCGTCTAATCAAAGACGGGAAGGTCAGGCCTGTCCTGCTTTATAATTCAAGACGCTCAGGAGCACCCTGCGATGAAAGGGTGGCCGAGGGGAACGGAAACCCACCGAGAGTAAAGAAATGAAAAGCTGAAGGATCTCCAACCTGTCCGTGGCCCGGCAAGCGCAGGTCTGCAGTGGGGACCCGCGGCCATGCTGCAGGCGGGCCACTTGAGCGAGGCGGAGCTGGCGTCCTGGGACCGTGGGCATCATCCTTGTGTCCCATTGCCAGGAGTAGGCTGGGAGCTAAGCAAAGGACGTAGGTCCTCAGGAAACGGTTGTGCTCTGGCAAACAGCCTGAACCTCAAGCCTCCTTGGGAGGGGTCAGTTCCCTGCTGCCCAGCCCCAGGGGGCTGCCCTGGGAGTGGGCTGGAGGCGCAGGCGAGGAGGGGCCGCCCCGTGGCAACAATGAACCCCGAAAGATGGGGACCAGTAGGGACTTCTGCTCTGAGCAAAGGATGCTGCTGAGACTTTTTCTTTTTTAATAATTGGGTTTGGTAAAGAAACATCCTTGACCTTTTGTCATGAGGGGTAGTACTGGGGCGGGAGATAGCAGCGTTCTCACATATCACTGCTCTGACCACATCACGGATCGGGTGCCAAAGAGATGAAAGTGAATGGAGTCCGGTAGCTTGTGCCCTGGGGTGAGAGAGAAAGGTGTCTCCTAGGTTACTCAGGCCTGGAGGGGGAGGGGCTAGGCCTGCTAGTCATCGGAACTTTCTGTGATGATTAAAATGTTCCCTGTTTGCTGCCCAATACCAAAGCCCCCGGTCACAACGCAGGTGGCGCTTGATTCCCAGTCAGGCGCACACAAGAATCAACCAACGAATGAATAAATAAGTGGAACAACAAATGGATGTTTCTTGCTCTCCCTCTCCCTCTGAAATCAATTAGAAAATTATTAAAAATGTGGCTAGTGAGGCTGAGGAACTGAATTTTATATTTTATTAGATTTTAATTAAGTTCAAATAGCCACATGTAGCTATTGGACAGTATAGCCCTGGGAATTACGCTCCTACGGAGAAGTAGTAGAAATGCTGTCTCTTCTTGCCTCCTGCTTCCCTCGCCCAAACCTAGAAGGAGCTTTCTTTTGTCATTGATTCCCAATGGTGGGTGGAGTCAGGTAGTTGTGGGGCTGAGTCCTGGCTTTGCCATTTAAGCTGTGAGACTTAGGCAAGTAACCTACTTAAAGCACATCGTAGGAGCCTCGCAGAGTGGTGGTGCCCGGTGCACAGTGGGCACTCACTAATGGTGACTATTGTCATGGTGATGACATTATTGTCATCATTGCTGCCTGCACAGCAGTGGCAGAAGCAGATGTTATACTGTGGAAAGAGAAGGATCAGGTTTCCCCAAACAGAGCTCCGTCCCCGGAAGGAACGAACTGTCTCCAAAGGCAAGTAGGCCCACTGCAAGCTAAAGGGCTTGGCTGAATTGATGTCATAGGCCACGTCTTGGGCTTTAATTTAGAGGAAAGAGGGCTTTGGAGCAGATGTGACCTCATACCCAGGCCCCGCATCGGCTTCCGGGTCCCTGTGGGTGTCCCAGCCCAGAGCTGCGACTGGGGTGCAGCGCTGCCTGCTGCCCCTCATTCCTTCCGCTGCGTCAGCGCCCGGGCCGGCCCCACAGCGCTCAGGGTCGCCCGCAGACAGACATGCGTGCCGCAGACATGCACGCCTGCACTCACTCAGCGGACGCGGACTGAGGACCTGTCGTATGCTGGGCACTTGGCATCCAGAGATGCCGAAAACACAGCCAGCGCCCTTTGAAGCTCACAACCTGGTGGGAAGACAAAGGTGCGCCGAATCCCAACCTGGAGTTGGCACAAGGTGTCCGGGAGAGGATGTTAGTGATCAGGTCCCACCTGGGGAGCTGGGGGTGGCTGGTCACGGGAGGTGGTGGCCTGGCTGCATAAAGCCCTGGGGATGCAGCTGGAGCAGGAGCTGGAGGATGATGGCCCGGTGGGGACCTGCAGGAGCAGTGGCCTGGGGCTGGGAGGGGGCCCGGGGGTGGCACACGGGGTGATGGCTGTCCCTTTTGTGTGCCCCGGGGTGGGGGGGGCGTGCCATGCAGGGCCCCTCTCCCCACAAGGGGGCCACAGGCTGTCTGTTCTCTGGGGCCCCGCGGTGGTGAGCAGCCCAGGCCTTTGCTGGGGGCTCCAGGCCAACTGGCCTAGGAGCCTCGCAGAGTGGTGGCGACTGCCACGCTGGCCGCTGGCCCTGCCTGTAGGAAGAAGCTCGCGTTTGCACAGTGTTCCCACATCGCCATTCTATTGTGCTCAGCAGCACACGTGAGAATGGTGGGGGGCGGGGGAGGAGATGTGGGAGGGGGTGCTTGTGTATGAACCACAGAAACAAAGTGCAAACTCGCCAGGGCAGAGCAGAGAACGGCGGCCTCCTGGAGCCCGCAGCCTGCCCACTGAGGCAGGGCAAGTTTCAGGTGGTCTTGTCAGCCTGCCTGCCCCCCGCCCCCAGCTACACTCCTTCCTACTTTGGCACAGCTTTACCTTTACAAAATGCTGCTAAAAACATGGGCGACACCCTCAGGTATATGACTGATTTTGCTTTTGAAAACCTGGGCGTTTATAAGTGTCCCCATTCAGCCTGCAGGAGAGATGATTGCTGGCCACTCTGGCATTTGATGACTTCCCAACAGGACCTGGAGCTGGGAGGTATGGCTGGCCCACGAGCAGAGCTCCAGCCCCCGGGCAGAGGGTGGCTCTGGGGTGTCGCCAGTGGTTAGGGGGCTGGTTGTCGATGCCACGGAAACTCTACCCTTGGCCCTGGGTGCGACCCATCCTGCTGGATTCAATTTCTCAGGCTCCCAGAATTCCCTCCCGGTTGCCTCTATTTGAAATACCAGTCTCCTTGGGACGTCTGACTCATGAGGTCCCACATGCCTCAGTCAGGGGCCTCTGGAGCAGCATGGATGGGGCCCTGGATTTCAAGGGGCTGTGGGCAAGGCGTGCGGGGGGGTGGGGGCGCTTCTGGGAGAGGCGGTCCATAGGGCAAGCTGTGAATGCTGAGCTTCTGGCCTGGGGTGGGGCGTAGGGAGTGGTTTTGCGCCCGGTTGACCGCCCTGGTATCCGTCACCTCCCGGGCTCTCAGTGTGGCCGGGAGAGCAGTGCCTGGGCCGCCACTGTCTGCTGTTGGGAGCCCTGCCCTGCGGAATCCCAACTGCCTGGGCCCTGTGGAACCCCAACGGCTCTCGGACCTGGCAGCCACGGAGGGGCCACGGAGCACAAGGCTAGTCCACGTCCCTCTAGCACTTTTGACTTTCAAAACTCACTTTCCCTTCTGGGCTCAGTTTCTTTATCCATGACACGCAGATTCTGAGGCGGTTACTCAGTCTGGACGAGATGATCACTTCTGATTGCGGCCGTCACACCAGGTTTCTGCTCTGGGGGCTCGGTACCAGTGTGGTGGGCACAGTGTGCTGGGGGCTGGGCCTGACTTCCTGGCTGGGCTCTGCTGCGCAGGGCGGCGGGCCTCAGCTGTGGGGAAGCCACTCGGTGCCTCGATTCGATTTTATTTTCCCATCTATAAAATGGAACATAGTCTCTGTATAACCTTGACGGCACATGGTCATTGGAGGGCTCCCCCGCGGGGCTTTGTAGAAGGACAGGGGATGGACAGGTAAAGGCGGAATATTATGGAATGGCAGTTGGAAACTAGAATTCAGCCCCTCCCATCCCTGTTCACACCAGCTGCTCCCCTGGGTGTTAGAGCCGGTCTTTTAGAGGTATCTTGGGGTTCACTTCTGAGGAGGAGGGGATGAGAGGGGTGTAATTTCTTCTTACTCCCCCAGCCTAGTGGCATGGCCTAGCATACGGGAGGGCAGTAGGCTTCGGCAAAGCTGCCGGCTGCCCCTCCCACAGCCACCTTCCACCCAGTGACCCCTTCCGCCCCCCTCCCCACCCCGCGCCCCAAAGGCTGCCTTCACCCCTTCACCCTCCTTCCCGCAAGGGGAGGCTCGGTACCACCAGCCTCTGGCCTGTTTCCTAGCCGCTGGGGCAGTTTGTGGGCCCGGCGAGGGCAGCCCCGCCTAAGACGAGGCGCTAACTGCTGAATCGGGGCCCCGGGAACCCTGCAATGGGAATGGCTGGGGCAGGGGGGCCGGGGAACTTGGGGTGACGCTCCCGGGACCAGCCCCGAGCTGCCTCCCTCCCCTGCGAGGCGGGCGCAGGGCTCGCAGCCCTCCTTCCGCTGCCAGCCGGGCTGTGGGCGAGTTAGACCTCCCAGCCTCACGGGGCTGCTGTGCGGCTGCAGCGACTCGGGCGACCGCGGCGCGGCGGCGGCGGCGGCGAGGAGGGCTCGGGAGGCGGCGCCGCGTGAGTCCCGGGCCGGCGGGGCAGGGGCCGCGGCGGGAGCTTACCGTATTTATCTAGGCCGCTGCCGGACCCTTGGGGGCGGGTCACTGCGGGCGCGCTACCGTATTTGCTGGGAGCGGCGCAGGCCCTTTCCGGGAGTGGGAAGCGCTGCGACTTAATTGCGTATTTTTTCCAGGGTTGCGTGATCCCCTCAGGGGCGCTGCGGGAGTGGGGGGTGCGGCGGTGGGGGTGGGTCGCATTCATTCCCTAGGGAAGCGGGGCTTGCAGCCGGGTGGGATGGGTTGCGGCAGCCGGGCGGGAGGCCTACGTGTTTTCAGCGGGGTGGGGTTGCGACGCAGAGTTTACCATATTTCCCCAGGGTCACTCTGGCCCTAGGAGTTGGCAAGGTTGTGCGTGGAAAGCGGGGTCGGGTGGGTGGGGTCAGCTCTTCTGGTTAATGCAGCTGTTTGATAAGAACAGCGGTGTGGGAGGCTGGCCGTCTTTATGGGGGCGAGGGAGAAGGGGCGCGGGAGTCGCTGCGGGCGAGTTACCGTATTTGCATTGGGCAGCGCAGACTCCAGAGGAAAGAGTCACTGCTGGAGAGCGGAGGAACAGGGGCGCAGCCTGGGCTGTGAGTGTGGGATAGGACGGAGAAACTTGGCGGAGGGAGGGGCGCCACAGCCTTGGACCCTCTCGGGTTTGGTTAGGGGTATCACTGGGGACAGTGGGAAGGCTGCCCAGGGACAAGGCCAGGCTGAGATTGGCCATGGGGACTGCGATGATCTGCCTTTGCATGTGTCAGTGCAGCGGCCCGGGGAAACACTTGTGGGTGCGGTGGGTCTACTGCAAGTAGTACCGTGCCCCTCTCCAGGGTGAGCGTGCATTCCACCCTGGTCTGAGCGTAGGGGGCACAGAGCGGGCACAGAGGCGGCGTCTGGGAGGCCCCACTCTGCAGACAGACCGGGGCTGCAGTGAGCAGCAGGGTCTGGAGGTGTGGGGAAGGCCTGCGTGCGGGTCCAGCGCAGGGCCAGCCAGCGTCCCTGCTGGGGGTGGGGAGGCAGGGGAGTGGCCAGCTCAGGCCCTGCCTCAGGGCTCTGCAGGAGGGAAGGGGCTCAGGGCTTTTTGGAGGCATGGGGGTGGTGGTAGCAGACAGTGCCCTAGAGGAGCAGTGGCCCTTTGGGTATCCATGGCTGTGCCGTGTCTGGGAGGCTGGTGGGGGTCTTGTGGTCTGCTCGGAGGGGTGTTGGTGGCCAGCTAGCTAGTGCATTGAGAAGAGCTTTCGACTGGGATTCAGGAAATGAGGGCCTAGTCCTGCCTCACCTTGGGCACGTCAGTCGACCTCACTGAGCCTCAGTTTCCCGATCTCTAAACTGGTGTTCCGCGAGCCCTGCCCCTTCCTCAGGGCTGTGGCGAGGACAGTGGGAAACAACGTAAGAGGGACACAGTGTCCCCGGGAGGAGAATCCTTAGGGGAGCCAGCGCGGGCGGGCGGAGCTGCGCTGGGGGTGCTGTTGCATTCCGAGGGCTGCTCAGCCGGGCCAGGCTTGGCGTGGAGCGGAGTGACGCTGAGTAGGCCCCTGGGAGCCCACACTCCGGTTCGGAGACTTGAGAAAAAGCCCCTTCCAGGCACGCCTCACTTTGCCCCCCAAAGAGCTGCTGCCTTGAGTGTTTAACTGAGGCTGCTCTCAAGTTTAAGGGTTTTGTTTTGTTTCTTCTTTCCAGCTTTGCCAAAACATCTTGACGCCACCCCCTCCCCTTCCCTCCAGATGGGGGCGCACTTCCCTGCCCGCTCCTTGAGAGATAAGACATCTCTAGGTGCAGGATAACTTGCAATACCAGGAGCTCCTGATGTTGCCCATCGGCATTTGTTCAGTGCTGTGTATGGATGGCACAGTGTGTGGTGCTGGGGATGAGAGATGGAGGCAGCTCTGTCCTTGAGGTGCTCACAGACGAGGAGACAAGGTGGCATGACAGGAATGCAGCGTGATGAGTGAGGGTCACAGGATCGGGCCCCGCGGGGGTCCTGGAAGGCTTCCAGGAGGAGGTGGCACTTCAGACGGGCCTGAAGGAGGGGCTGCATGTGATGAGTGGGTAGAAGAGAAAGAAGGGCACCCAGCAGAGGAACGCGGGCTTGAACAAGACTGTACAGGGGTGGGGACGCTGGAAGTTGCGCAAGGACAGAAGAGTGTCTGCCCTGAGGCTGGGATTCCCCTGACTCCTCTTCTGCTTCTGCCTCCCCAGGGGCCGGTGATTGCAGCTGGGAGTGCCCATGACCGAGCTGGCGTCCTCCGGGGGCGGGTCCCCTACGGGGGACGGGGAAGAAGGTCTGGGGGACGAGCGAGGCCTGGTCATCCACCACCCTGCGGAGGAGCAGTCCCACCGCTGCCCGCTGTGCGGCCAGACCTTCTCGCAGCAGCCGAGCCTGGTGCGGCACCAGAAGGCGCACGCCGGGGCGGGCCGCGCCGCCGCCTTCGTCTGCCCCGAGTGCGGCAAGGCCTTCAGCGTCAAGCACAACCTCGAGGTGCATCAGCGCACCCACACTGGCGAGCGGCCCTTCCCCTGCCCCGAGTGCGGGCGCTGCTTCAGCCTCAAGCAGAACCTGCTCACGCACCAGCGCATCCACAGCGGCGAGAAGCCGCACCAGTGCGCGCAGTGTGGCCGCTGCTTCCGCGAGCCGCGCTTCCTGCTCAACCACCAGCGCACCCACGCGCGCATGCCGGCCCCGCACCCGCGCCGCCCCGGCGTCTTCGGGGAGCGGCGGCCCTACTTCTGCGCCCGGTGCGGCAAGAGCTTCGCGCGCGAGGGCTCGCTCAAGACCCACCAGCGCAGCCATGGCCACGGGCCCGAGGCCCCTGCGGCCCATTTAGGCCGCGTGCTCTGATGCGCGCCTGGCCTGCAGCCGGCTGTTTCCCGCCCCGGAGCTGCATCCCTGAGCCTTGGGGGTGGCCCTGGGCTGCGCTCTCCCCTCTGGATGGGACCCCGGGAACTGGGGAGGGCTGGCCAGGGGTCTTGGAGGACTGGGCCGCCGCCCTGCTCTGTGGCCTTCTTTGGCTCCTGCCTGCGGACGATGGGGCTGGCTGCTCGGGGCTGCTCTGCCCTGCCGCCGGGGTTTCCCTCCTCAGGGCGGCCGGGCCCAGAACGCGCAGGTGAGACCCGAGGGTCAAAGCTGCTCTCAGGCTGGCCCGGAGGGGAGCGGGAGATGTTGGGTGGGGACAGGTGGGGGTGGTGGGGCTCACTGGTCTGTCGCAGGTCTCTGTGAGCATCCTCTTCCTGCACCTCCATTCCTAGAGTGTCCGGGTGGAAAGCGACGTGGAGAGGGCCACGCCCCCGCAGAGCCCAGGCCCTGGCCTGCTGCTCCAGCACTCACTACCTGGCGTCCCTGAGAAGTCTTTTCGTTCGTGTCTCACTCTGGGCACCTGTAAGTTGGGGCCAAACACGAGGTGCGCTGTGAGGGCTGTGATTGCCATTACTGGACAAGAGAGGGGGCATGTCACTGGTCCAGGACCGGTTTTGAACGCTCCTGTGCACCAGGCACTGGGCTGGGCTGGGCGGGGCTCTCCGCAGGAACACAGACGCGGACCTGGTCCCGGGAGGTGCCACACCTGGTGCTCACACGGTGACGAGGGCTAGCATGGGGGAGGGGCTCTAAAGTGCAGGGGCGAGGCGGGAGTCGGGGGGTGGGCGCAGTGACTGGTGTCACCCAGGGCCGTTTGGTGGTTTGATTGAGGGGCCCTCGGGAGAGCCAGGCTGAAGGAGGACTCAGGGGCGGGGTCTGACAGCGAAGGCTCCTATCCGCCCTGCAAAGGATTCTGTGGCCAGGGAGAGGAGACACTACAAAGGGCTCAGTGACCTCGGTCGAGCAGTTCAAGAACGGGAGGCCCTGCGAGGCCGGGTCACAGTGGGACAGGCAGGAGCCTCGAGGGCCTCGGGCTCGTCTGGGCTGGGGAACCTCCGCCCTCTGCCGGGAGGCTTGACCGGTCGTGCAGAGAGAACGGCCGCAGCCAGGCCGCGCCGGGCCCGAGCCCACGGATGCGCTCTGAGACGCGGGCTTCTTCAGCCGCTTGGCGGATGAGGGAACTGCAGCTCGCCCGAGCTGGCCCCGAGTCTCCGAATGCGACAGCGGTCCTAGCTTGGCTCCTGGACCCCGAGACCCCTCGTCTTACCCCACTGCCCTTAGAGAGGCTCTCGCTGGTGGGAGGACGGAGCCGCGAGCTTGCGGGCGTGTGACCAGGGACTGTGGGGAGCCCGGGCAGGGGTGTCACCGGGTGGTGTGGCTGCCCAAAGGGGCCGTGGCGCCCACAGCGGTGGGGGGGAGGAAGGAAGCCGGGCATGGGGGACGACCTGCACTCAGAGCCCTGGGCCCAGGCTGGGCGCTGAGCTTGGTGCTGGAGGCCCGACGGCAGGTCCTGGGACCTATCACCCTCCACCTGCCACCCCTAGGGGGCTGTGCCAATGGGGTCCACCACTTAGTGGCAGAGATTGAGAGATGACACTGGGAACTGGCACATCTGAGGCCAGTTGCCAAAGTGTCCCAATGCCAAGTCCTCTCATCTGTAAAGTGGATTTGTAATCCTTTTTTTTTTTTTGAAGATATTATTAATTTATTTTTAGAGAGAAGGGAAGGGAGAAAGAGAGGGAGAGAAACATCGATCGGTTGCCTCTTGCACGCCCCCTGCTGGGGTCCTGGCATCTGTGGACAGGTGCAGGTGGCCCCGGACAGGTGCTCTCTCCTGGCTCCAGAGGGGTGGCAGGGCTGAGTCACGGCCCCAGACCTGACCCCGGTCTCTGTCTCCGTGAACAGATGCGGAGTGGGCAGGACCTCTGGGCAGTGTGCGAGGCACTTCTGGGCACAGACACTAGGAATGGGGACCCTGGGGGCCTGCACCCCGGCATGAGGACATGTGCCCTAAGAAGACCTACCTCGGGAGGTGCCCTGCGGTGACAGCAGAGGGGACCGGTGGAGCCAGGTTCTGTTCCCTGGGGGTCACGTCCGGGAAGAGCTTGTCCGGGCCACCCGGCTGTGGACCTACGCTTTCGTGTGCCAGCAGGGACCATGCCTGGGTGGAGGGCTGGCTTCCCCCCGCCCGGCCCTCCGGAGCTGGGGAGCGACGGACCTAGGAGAACACAGGGCGCCGGAGGCGGACCTGGCTCTAGCGGCATAGCCTTCCGACGGGAACCACACAGCCGGCCTCACTTGCCTTTTGGCAAAGGTTCTCCCTGCACCTGGGGGCGTGAAGCCCTGTGAAAAGCTGACAAAGGTTATGAACCTGCCTCCCAGGAAAACACACGTCCTCACGGAGATGCAAGAACCTACCAGCAACACCAGAAGCTTCTGGGCTCCAGGCTGGCGCCTCAGCCCCGGGCCCCAACCGGTCGCCCTGTCCCTGCCTGACCCAGAGGGCCCACCGTGCAGTAACATTCCTCCCTCCCCCGCCGGCCCTCCTTCCCTTGTTGGGGAATAAAGAACTCTGAGGAGGGGACCCTCATAGTGACTCTCTTCTTCCAGACCTAAGAAACGGGGCCTCAGGGTTCTGGAGCTGCCGCCCTCCCCCAGACGTTGCCGGGGGCTCCCTGGCGGGCTTTGCTCTTCCCTGGTTCGGGGTTGCTGGCTCTATCGACTAGGCTGCGGGCTCCCTGGTGCAGCCCTGGGCTCCTGGCTCACCGGGAAGGTGGGCAAAGCTGGGCCTTGTGTGGACGCCAGGTGAAGCAGCAGTTTGGGCTGGTCGGACCCCAGGAGCAGGAATCGTATGTCCAGCAGCCATGTCCGGGCGTTCGGTGTCTGCCAAGCATGGTGTGGGGAAGGCCGGGGAGGGAGACGCGGTCTTGCTCCTGGTGCCAGCCAGCTCTGGGCAGGGAGAGGCCGGCAGAGGGGCTTCTGTGCGTCCCGGGCGTCCACGAGGAGAGACCAGACTCCCCGGTCTCCAGGCCTGTGCAGTTGGCCTGGAGCGAGCTTACTGGCCTCCCTAGAATGAACTGCTTGTCAGAAACGGTGTGACCCACCAGGGCTGGGTGGGTTTTTGATGACAACCAGCTTTCTGGATGCAGGTTACATTTAGGGAAACCCTTGGGAGCAGGGAGAGGTTTTTCGTCACACAATCGAGATCAAAGCCCAGGACTTTGAGTTGTGAGGGTCAAATCGGCATTGGGTTTAGGTTGCGGGGGGGGGGGGGTGTCCCAGGGCTGGGCAGGGTTTAACAGGGTTGTCGGGGTGGGGGGAGGGGAGCCCATCTGCCATGTGCCTTGTCCTGGGGTGAGAACCTGCTCTGGGGAGATCAGAGAGAGAGTGCGTGGGCATTCCTGGCTCCTGGAGCTTCTACTCCCTCTGATTCTTGGCCGACATGGAGGGAGCCTCACAGACTCACCTCTGCCGATTGTCAGCTTGTTCTCCCTGCCCCTCCCCCAGCTGGTCCTGTGCGTCCTCCTTCCTGCCTCTGGCTTCCCTGGGATGGCGGTGAAATGTGCCGCTCGACCCTGCCACGCCTCTTTCCACCAGCGGGGCTCCCCTCACCGCCCAGCCCGCATCCCCTTCCTGCTCTGCACAGGGTCTGAGTTAGCGCACCAGCGCCCCCTCGGGGACTGCGTGCAGCCTTACACGCCAGCTTCCTGTGTGTGCTTGTGCGCGCGCGCCTTAACTCTCCAACAACGCTGTGAGCATTCTGAGAGCAAGGGGCACGCCATTTCTTCTTGCACCCCAACAGGGGCTAGTGCAGGGCTGGGCTCAGCACCGGGCACGCAGTTGCTGACTGGCTGATGGGTCAAGTGCCGAGGCGGTGGGGGGGCCAGCGATGGGAGGTCGCAAAGGGGAGAGGGCAACCTCCTATCGGTTGTGGGTTCATAGCAGGGGTGTTTCAGGGGGCTGCAGGCTTCCCGCCCCGGGGCAACAATGACCCTAGGAGCCTAGGAGGCCGGAGGTCCCATCCATAGCTGGGGCAGTGGTACAGGAGGGACCCCCCCCACCCCCTGCCCCTCAAGGCTGCACAAGCCTGTGCCTAAATGGTCATGTAGGCTGGACATTTCCATAGGTCACTGACATGCACCGCAGATGACCAAGTGGAATAAATGTTCTGTTGACATCAGTTGGTGTGAGGAGTGGTCATTTGGGGCTCAGCCAAAGCAGGGTGGTGGCCCCCAGCTACCTCCCTCATTGCTTGAGGCTTCGCGTTCAAGGTAACGTGGTGTCCAAAGGCTGTAGGAAGCACAGCTCAAAAACGACAGCAGTCAGTTAGCTTAGCCCCGCCCCCCACCTGGATAACGACTGCTGTTTGGAGCTGGGTTAGGATACAGGGGCCCCTGGAAGGAGCCCCAGCGACCCGCTGAGGTCCTTCCCATCGGCTCCCGACAGGTGAGCCGCGGAGGGGCCGGGCCAGAGGACTGTCTGCGCCGGGAGGTGGTGGCAGTCCCAGAGCCCTCCTGACTTTAACCTCCTCGTTGGGACTCGAAAATAAACCCCGCCCCTCCTACCTCACCGGCGCGGGGGTGGGGGGGGATGCAGACTCACGCGTGAGCACGTAGCTGCAAAGCGCAGCACAGAGGCAGCGGTTTGCTGTCACCAGCGTCCCGCTGCCTGAGATGTCCCTGGAGCTGAGTTGACTCCTCGCTTCGCCGCCCACGAGGCGCCGGCAGCAGAGGGCGCTGGACAGCGCCGCTGCGTGAGACCTGGGCGGGGGACTTCCCTGCTGCTGATAGTGCAGGCCGGGCCTGACCCTGGCCGAGGCTTGCTCCAGAACCTTCCTTCTGCGCCTCGCTCTTTGACCCACACTTGGGGCTGCATTAGTTGTTTCTATCCGCCAGGGAGGGTCATACTTCGAGGACACGGCCTTTGAGACCTGGTGTTGCTGGGGATGAATCAGGCAGGACCCTGGTTCCATTCAAACTGGCCAACCAAGAAGGGGCGCTGGGGGCTCATGTTGTTGAGAAGGACACACCCGGGACCCAGCCCTTCTTCAGTGCCTCCCAGCTCGCGGGGCGGGCAGAAGCGGGCAGCCGCTCAGCCCCTGCCTGCCCGGCCTCCGTTCCTCCCCCAACGGTCTGAACCAGTCGCAGGGCCCGCTCCGGCTGGCCTGAACTGGCCGATGCCCTTGACCGGACCAGCGGCTGCGCCAGGCCAGGGGACTGCAGCTCTGTGAATGGCCAGGCCTGGGCACACACCACCGATGAGGGGCCAGCTGCCCCTGGAGTCCGGGGACCCAGAGTGGGGAAGGGACAGTTCACCAGGGGCAAAGCAGAGGCCCAAGGAGGTGAGCGGATTCCGGGTGGTAGACCAGCACTCCTGCCCCTGACCGACCCGCAGCGTCGGTCCCCGCGGGAACTTGTTATTGACGCCCAGCGCCGCCCAGCTGCAGACTCCGGGCAGCCTCCGCGCGTTAACAGGGCCCCCGGCCGTCCGCGTGGGCCGGCGCTCTGCCCACGTCACTTTCCCACCTCCCTTCTCAGTCCTGCTGCCGAAAAGGAGGCGAATATAACGTGGCTGGCTCGGCGGGCGGCGGCGGAGGGGAAAAGATGCTGCCTCCACCCGGGTCCAGGATCCCGGCCACCGTCACCCCGCCCACCCTGGGGGCCGGAGCGCCCATCGGGCTGGCGTTACGGGAATTTACTCTCACTACCGAACACAGAGCAGGAGGGCAAGGCCCAGAAAAAGGCCCGTCCTGGGGGAGAATGCAGGCGGCCCGCGCGGAGCAGCTCCTCCACCCGCCGGCCTTCCCTCGCCACCCTCCTGCGACCCCACCATGAAGCACCGCCTCCCTTCACTTCCTGTCCTAATAGGGTCACCTGAGGCAAAGGTAGCTCAGATGGTTACAGCGTCATCCCCATATCCCAAGGTGGCAGGTTCGATCTCCGGTCAGGGCACGTACAAGAATGAGCCAATGGATGCATGAATATGTGGAACAACACATCGATATACGTGTGTGTCTCTCTCCCACTTTCTCTCTCTAAAAAAAAATCAATTAATAAATTATCAGAGGAACATGTTGTACCTCTTACATTTATAGAATGTTATATGTTAAATGTATTCCATTTAAAAAGAACCAAAACAGGCTGCATGTGGAGATACTCCAGACTTTTTGTAATAAATGTCAACGGGAGAGTGGCGCCCTCTAGCGCACAGTGGGAGAACTGATGTGGAGTGAATTTGTAACGAGGGCTGTTAGTTTCTCTGGGGCCCTAAGGCCGGCCTGCTACCTTTAGGTTAGAATGTATCAGTCAGGGACCGTGTAGGTTCCCAATAGACATTTGCTAGGTGAATAAGTAGGACCACGAGGCTTTTCGGCATGCTCTATGGAACCGCGTCAAAGAAGCAGACTCGTAAAAGTCCCCTGTCCCCTTACGGATGGAATGAAGGTTGGTGGCAATTATAGGAGCGAAGAGAAAATTGGAGGCAAAGAAGTCAGACATTTTTCTTCTTCTTCCAGGTTTCACGAGGAAATACAAGGAAACATAGTAACTTTCCAAAGAGACTTAGCCCACAAGCCAGCATCAAAAGTTTGCTCCTGAAAGCCTAACGCACTCTGCGAGCGCAGAGGCCCGGCAGCGGGCAACCCGGCGGGGCCGCCGCCGCGGGACGGGGGAGGCGGGCAGCCCGAGCGAGCGCGGAGCCCGCGGCCGCCGCTGCGAGCCTGTCTTCCCGAGCAGCTGCGACGGCGGAGCGCGAACGCTTACTGGGTGTTTGGTAACGCCGACTGATGCGTTCCCCCCACTTCTGACTAGGTTGCTGTGCTTCTGGTCAGGACAGAACCTGTGCCTTTCGAGAGAGACACGCTGAATGAAACGCAATCTGGGATTTGGTTGGAAACGGTCTGCGGGATCGCACTCAGGCAGCGCCGGCCGGAGCCGAGCCGCATCCGCGGGGACCGCCTGCCGCTGGGTGAGAGGAAGAGGAGCCCCGAGTTGAAGGGTATTTGCACCCAGTCCTTCTAGCCTCCGGAGAATTCCCCAGGCGATACTTCTGCAAGCAGCTAAAACCCTAGTGAGGGGAGGGGGGTGTCCGAGGCTGGTTTATTTATTTATATATATTTTAAAGCAATGTTTCTTTATTATTATTGTTGTTGTTTTTAGATAAACTGAAGGGTGATGTGGGGATCAAAGAATATACGCTTTACTAATCTCTACTTAAAAAGTTAGAAAATTGTCAATGAGGGTTGACATACAATATTGTGTGAGTTTCAGGTGTGCAGCCTAGTGGTTAGACATTGATGCAACTTACAAAGTGGTTTCACTCCTCTGCCCTCAGGGGTCTGGCAGCTGCCTGATACCCCACGCGGCCATCACAAGATTATTGATTATATTTCCCATGTTGTATTTTACCTCCCTACGTGTTTGAGGCTGATTTGAAGTTTTGGCTTCGAGCCGTTTCCTTTGGTCCAAGAGGTCATGGCGGGGCCGGGGGAGGGGCTGAGCGGACCCCTTTGCTCTGGTACTTCCCACTGGACTTTAGTTTCCATTCTCTCCTCCCAGGGAGGCTACGAAGCAAAGGCTCCCATTTTCCAAGAGGGTGACATGCTCCTTCTTTGGTCCGGTGGTTCCTTATTGCCTTATTGTTCTTGGGTACTTTTTTTTTTTTTAATCTTCACCTGAGGACATAATTTCATTGCTTTGAGAGTGAGAAGAAGGGAGAGAAAGAAGCGCCCGCGGCTGGTTGCCTCCTGGAGGCGCCCAGACCGGGGAATGCAGGCGCCTGGCTGGGGACGGAGCCCACAACCGAGGCGTGTGCCCTGACCAGGAACCAAACCTTCAGCCCTTCAGTTTCGGGACAGCGCTTCAACCAACTGAGCCACGCTGGCCAGGGCAGTTGTTGGATACTTTTGAGAAGATTTAAACCTCTTTTTATTCTGTTTGACCTTTAGCTGTTTTCAGTGGGAGGGTTTGCACGAATAATTTACAGGAAACAGGGGTGAGTCATGACGTTTTGGGCTTCCCTGCCTGCCCTGTCTCCAGTGTCTCAGACTCAGGGTCCCCAAGCTGGACACACCAGCCTGTCACGGCCCTGTCTCCACAAAGGCTTCAAGAAACTGATGTGACCCCAGACTATCCCACAACCCATCAGCCAGGGTGGCCACTAGCCTTCGTGTGAATCAGAAAATGGAGTCTCTTCTTTA